CATCAGAAAGGAAATGGGGAACCTACATACGTGGGGAGGCAAGGCTAGGCACCAGCAGGGGACTGAGGCGGGAGGCGGGAGGCTAACTGGAACCCCACTTTAAGAACAGCCTAGGTGATACGGCAGAACCCAGTGTCAAAAGAAGAGCCACAGTTCTGTGCAGCTCACTCACCCAAGAAAGGAATTGGCTGAACCGATGACAGCCTCTCACAAGCAGAAGCTTCACAGCCCTCAGCACAGCGGCCAGGCGCACAAGGCCCTAGGCTCCACTGCTAGCATCGCCGCAAGAAAAAGGGAAGCCTAGGAACCATTTAGGAAACAATCACTAAAACATATGCTATGGTAAAAGATTAACCAAAGCAAGGTAAAAGTACCAAACAGCATTCGTAGGACTGTATTACACAATGGCCAAAATGATTTTGGCTTGGAAACAAGCTAGGTGTGTTGGTACACCCCAGGCTGGCATCTCAGCACTGGGGAGGCTGAGGCAGGAGGCTCACTCAAGGTCAGCCTGCACTGCATAGTGAGTTCAAGGACAGCCTGGGCTACAGAGAAGATCCTATCTCAAAAAAAGAAAAAAAAAGTTTGCAAACATCTATATGACTGTCACTGGCCAGCCCCGGGCCAGCACTACAAGCGACATCATTCCACATGTCTATTATCTGAAGTGTGTAAGGAGGAGGCTTTATTTTACAGCTGTTGATGCCAAGGGGTTTCTGTAACCAGAAGACAACAGTCTTATTAAGTGTTTCCTATGAGCTGCATGCGGGCCGCCTCCATAGAAGGTGCAGATGAGAACACTTCTGTGGCTAAGACCACATGAGAACACAAGTTGCAGCTGGGCATGGTGACACACACCTACAGTCCTAGCTACTTGGGTTGCTAACACTCTTGAAGGGCCACAGCCAGCATCATAGGATCTGGGCCTTCAACTAAGGAAGAACATGTATTTCTGGCAAATCTTCAACAGGGACTAAACAGATCATCTAGGGACAACCAGGGAAGTCCCACGGGCTCCTGCAATCACTGTGTTCTTTTCTAAGTAGCTGTCACACAGGATTCAGCCTGTGGCTGGATGGTGCCACAAGAGGGAGCTGCAGGCACCACCAGATGGGAGGCCAGATGCGAGTGGCCCTGGAGCTTAGCCAGTTGCTAGAGCCTTACACCCCTGTCAGAGGGAGAGGAAAACAGCAGTACTCTATGAGCAGCCTGCCAGCAGTGCACCCAAAGCCCAGCATTCTCAAGGCTGAGGCAGGAGGATCTCTGCGAGCTCCAGGCCAGCCTGGGCCACATAGCAAAACCCTGTCTCAAAAAGCCTACTCTGCCCCCAAAATAACAGCTTCAAAACCCAGCTCAGCCCTCCTTCCTCTGCTCAACACTTTGGGAACACTGCAGGGTGTGAAGGAGGGCTGACTTCATTCCAAGCCGCTTGTGTAGCTGCCAGTGCTCCTGCACCCTCATGACACATCTTTGTTAGAAAACTCAGGGAGGGGGGCTGGGGATTTAGCTCAGCGGCATAAGTGCCTGTCTTGCAAGCAGGCAGTCGTGAGTTCGATCCCTGGTACCGATAACAAGGAAAAAGACAAAAAAAAACCTCAGGGAGATGGGGTAGAGCATTTCCCCAGCACACACAGGTCCCAGGGAAGAAAAGGAAAAGGCCCTCACACAGCCACACACCAAGACAGTGCACTTCACACCCAGCAAGAGTTCCCCATCCTGTTCCTGCTGCACACGGAGAGCATGGCTGGAGGAGGCAAGGAGAAAGGAGACTGCGGAGGAAGCCTCAGATGCTGAGGGGCAGTCTGGCTCCCACACCTTCTCCCGCCTCACGAGCACTCTGCTGCCTAGCAAGCCTGGCTTCCCAAGTCTTCGCATGAGACACTCCCTGTTTACAGTCGGGGAAAAGAAATGTCCACAGCACAGAGCAGTGGCCTAACCTGTGCGAGGCCCTGGGTTCCATGCCCAGCACTGAAGAACAGGAAAATAAGCGCGCAACCTAGAAAATGGGGCTGCAGTCCCCAAAGGCTTTCGGTTAATACAGAAGAGCATGGAGCATAGTCAACTCAAGGAGCGGGCCTGTTTCTGAAAGGGCAGCCCTGCTGCGGAGGCACAGGCCCTGCGCGGGCCTAGGCTGTGCATTTGTGTGCCACTCTTTTCTTTAAAAAGTAAAACAAGCAACAGAAAAAAGCTACAGCTTAAGGGTATTAAAGAATTTTTATACATTTTATGCTGCATTATTAAAAAAGAGCCAATGAGCTAAGAGCTGGACACAATGGTACACATTGATAATCCCAGTGCTAAGAAGGCTGACACACAAAGGTCATTGCAAATTTGAGGCCCACCTGGGCTAAGTTCAAGACTAGCCTAAATCACATAGCAAGTCAGAGAGATGTCTCGAAACAATCAAAAACAGAAAGAAAAACAGAGAAGAAAAGAAAAACAAAGGAGCCACCGAGTTAAAACTAAGGCAGGGCACAGTGGCACACATCTGTAGTCCCAGCTATTCAGGAGGCCGATGTAGGATTTGCCAGTTGAAGGCCAGCCGAGGCAAACTGGCCCTGTCTCAAAATAAAAGCTACTTAGAAAAGCAAGGGCTGGAAGTATAGCTCCAGGAAAAAAACACTTGTCTAGCATTCATGAACCCCTGGGTCCAACCCCTGATGCTGCACATTTAAAGAAAAAAAGGAAATTGGTAAGTTTCCAAAGTAAAAGCTTAGGACAAGCTCAGGCTAATTCCTTACTTTTAATCAGTTCAGTGTGGCCCAGGAAGTCTGAGCAGTGTCACCTCTGGGCTGTCATGTTCATTCGCCCAAAGCAACCACCTGCCTATGGAGCTCCAGTAAGGCTCCCCAGTCCACACTGGCCTCCCGGCTCTAATCTCCCGGTACCGGTACCCTTTTCTAACCAACATCACACTGGCTTTGGAACCCAGGGCCGATGTGTGACAGGCAGGTGTGCTACCCAAGCCCCAGCCCAGCCCCGGCCCCGACCCCGGCCCCATAGCCTCTCCTGCTTGAGACACCAAACGCCTCGCCGGTGCCATAACTGCGCAGAGGCAGACAGAAGCATCCCAGGCCACTCAGGTTCCCGCCAGCCGCTCACGATGCTGCCACCACACAACGCTGCCTAACAATTGGCTTCTCGGAATGTGTCCCTAGCCAACAGCCACACATGTCCCTATCTACATACAAAACAAAGTCGAGTGCAGAACTGACCCTGTGAATCACAGTCCGTGGGACAGCAGTCAGCCCTGCAGTGGCCCGGAGGTGCCCGGAGGTAGAGGGGAGCTATGGGTAAAGCAGAGGAGCCACAGAGTAAAGCAACCACTACAGCTCGGCAGCCCCTGCCCAACACCCCAGCCCTGCCCATCAGCCCTCGATGGCCACCAGCTCACTGAGAGGAAGCCAGCAGTGAACCCTTTCAGGTGCTCTCAGGGACCTGTGCGACATTCCCATAGGTCTCCCTGTGAACACTGCAAGTCCGCTCAGGGTGCCACTCTGGGAGCTCATCCTGGGGGCCTTGATTTCAGCTCACACAACTCACTCCTCCTCTTCAAAACTGCGCATGTGCCCCCTGCTCACGGGCCTCCCAAAGGCAACCACCGAGGTGATAGGTTGGATCTGCACACAACTCAGAACCACACCCAGCTGCAGATGCAACCCAAGGCAGCCCAAGGCCCCAGACACCAGCCCTGCGGAGGTGGCCCAGCGGACTCCACTCTAGGAATGGAGGCACTGCTGGGACCCAACTCCCTGGAAAGCACCCTGTGTCCTCTATCCCGGACACCTTCTCCTGAGCATGGGCAGCAAGCCAGCGCACAGCTTGTCTACAGGCCCACTTGGGCATCGCTGACAGAGCTTAGGGCCAGGCACCCTGGGGTCCTCCTGCCCAGAGGGACTCCCAGCCTCTTGTCCCCATGTCCTCTTGGCATAACCACAAACAGCACCCCGTGAGCCTGCACAGAGCTCAAGTGGGCTTTCACATCCTAGAAACTCCTTCACGGAGCCAGCGCAGAGGCTGGGTAAGCGCTTGGTGGGCCGCATAGCTCGGAGTCCTGTGTCTGCCGCAGACAGCTTCTGAGCACTCTGGGGTGAACACCCCAACTCTTGCGTGTCTCACCCCCCCACACACACTTTTTCAGCTCTGGTCCCACCTGCGCCATGGACGCCAGGCCCCAGTGACGCCTGGGACAAAACGTGTCACCTTCCAAGTGCTCAGGGCAGAGGGCAGAGTTTCAGTGGCTGCATGAGTTCAGCATGTGTGAGGTCCCTCCCCAAAGACAGCCACCGAGAGGGCGATGGCTCAGGGATGGAAGTGGCTGACATGGACACCAGCCCATCCTGCAGCCCGCACTCTCCAGCCTGTGCTGGGGCAGCCTGAAAAGCCAGGATTGGCCATGTGGCCATCTCACTGCCCAGTGAAGCAGCGGGCACTGGCGACAGAGGCACAAAAAGTGCTGAGCCTCAGGCACCAGACCAGGGAGCAGTGATGCCCGTGAGCCCACCTGGCACCCCTCGGTCTGTTACCCCTGCGGTGGCACTAAAAGGTGGCACCTGTAGGCTGCACCTCTGCCTGCCCTCCTACTTCCAGGCATGAGGCAGCCCTGGCACCCCTCACTGCCTCGGCTCAAGACCCTGGGACCTCACGGCCATCCAGCAGGTCCCAACAACGCCTGGTACAGATGCCACTCCCAAAACAGTTTTCACCTGGCCAGTGTTGGCGTCAGCCCTGCACACCGCACTGCTGCTTCTGGGGCTTCCCGGGCCAGCACCCCAACACCTACAGCCCTGGGCCATCAGTCCTCTGTGCCCAGGGCCCAAAGATCCTTCCCTCTTTCACCTACCCCAGGCCAGGGGCAAACACCACACGTCAAGGTGAGTCAGTCTGCTGGCTCTACACTGGCTGCCCCGGTGGTGGGGGCAGAGTTCCAAGACATAAATGAGGTGGCGCCAAAGCCCAAGCAGCAGTGGTTGGCCAGCCCAGGGTACCCCCACACTCACAAGGACAGCAGCAAGGAGAAGCCAGCGATGTAGAGGTTTCTTTGTGCACGGAAAAGCTTCATGTGGAAGTGTTCCATGGCGCCAGGGTTGTTCTGCAGGTTCACCTTCTCAGTCACGTCATCGTACTTGCGGGTCTCACGGAAGGCATCTGGGGCAAGGCAGTGGGGCAAGGCAGTGGGGCAAGGGCAGTGGGAATAGACGGCCTCCCCTCCCTATCTACCCCGGTACCCCTTTACCTCCACCTCTGCCCTCCCCCACAGCCTCTGCACAGCGATGCCCACCCCAGACTACCTGGGCCACAAGCTTGTGTAGGCTCCAAAGCACTGCCAGCCACAAAGTGCCCTTTCCCAGGGTGCCCCCAATCAGGTCACCAGCCACCCCCCCAGCAAGCTGAGGGCCTTGTTGTGGAAATGCCTACTCGGGTGCTTCAGGGGCTTTGGAGCAAGCATTTCTGTTCCTACATTTTATGGTGGACTTTAAGCTTTTATTCAGATTAGGAAAACACTTCAGAAAAAAACCTCAGGCTTATTCAAAGTTACCATCTCAAAAATGTAAAGAGGGAAAGATTGGGGTTAGGAGTTTAGCTCAGTGGCCTAAGTGCCTGGCAGGCAAGCATGAGGTCATGGGTTCAATTCCTGGAACCAAAGAAAAAAGGGGGGAAGATTGTCATAATACAACCACCCTCAAGAAGTCTGTAGCTACCAGACCTGAAACCACTACCAATCATGTCATCTCACATCAGCCGCTCTGAGACACATCCACCTTAAACACGTAACACATACAGTGCCTCGGTTTAGCAACGCATGTACCAGGAAATGCCGAAAGGCAAACTCAGTGTACCTACTGCTTGACCTCACTAATCGGCTCTGAGGGCTGGGGGTTTATCTCAGCAGCACAGGCACCTACCTGGCAAGCGCAAGGCCATGAGTTTGATTCCCAGTACCAAAAAAGAAAAAAACAAAACAAAAAGGCTCTTGATAGACTCCTGTGTGAAAAGGACAAGATGCCACCTGAGACTTAGGACACGGCCTAGCTGAACCCAAAGAAATGCAAGATAAAGTGGCATGCACCTATACTGCTAGCACTCTAGGAGGCTGAGGCAGGAGGATTTAAGTTTGGCAAAACACTGTCTCAAAACAAAAAATAAAAAAGGCTGAGGAGCAGCTCAGTGCAAAGCCCCTAGGCTAGATTCCCAAAGTGAGGGGAAAAAAAACCCAAAATAATTGGTGGGTGTTGTGTAACTCAGAATTTCTAGCTTGGGATGGAGTCTTAGTTCCCAAGGTGATCACGCACTACACAATGTGCCTGGCCTTCCTGACATCTTGGCATTGGGCAACTTTGGGGTTCAGCAATTCTGCTCCATGAACTTATCCCACAGATGCATTGCAGCCATATGCAATGCTCTGAGGACACCTCGAAGGAGGGAACCAGATTATGCTGTGGCCGTGAGAAAGACCGCCGTACAATCTCAAGAGAATAGACTGCTGTAAAAAGGGACACAGAACAGGAAAACTAAGGGCTGGAGATTTAGCTCAGTGGCATAAGTGCCTGCCTTGTAAGCACACAGACTTGAGTTCAATCCCAGGTACCAAAAAACAAACAAACAAACAAAAAACAGGAAAATTAGGACCCACAGCAGTGTGTATGAGATCCCAGTGCTGTAAACTTTTCAATGACAGTGAGTATTCAGGATGAAGTGGGAGGATGGCCGCAAGTTCAAAGCCAGCCTGCACTACTACACAGTAGGACCCTGTCTCAAAAAAAAAAAAAAAAATCCAAAGCACTCTCAATGGTTACCTGTGGGACATGAGATTATGAGGGATTTTAACTTTCTATGTGCGATTTCTACATTTTTAAAAACAACTATGCATTATCATTTGCTCTGAAACAGGGCCTGAGGTGCTCATTTGGGCAGCACACACACTGATACGGGGCCTTTCTATGCAGTTCATGCTAGTGACCTCACAGCAATCCTCCTGACTCAGCCTCCTGAGTGCTGGGATTACAGACATGTGCCACCATACCTGGCTAACCATGCTTTACTTCTGTAGTCAGAAAAAACAACATTAAAAAAACTCTTGATTTCCACAAGTTATATCATGTACAGGTACCAATTCCCTGTAATGCATGGGATCATTACGTATACCTAAAATATATCAATAAAAATTATTTTCTCTGACAAAAAAATCTATGATTTTATACACTCATCTACTTTCAAGAATCCCAGCATCATAAGTACCACCATGGGAGACAGCCAAGAGGAGACAGAGCTGGGGTACCTTGAGCCCCCAATACCTCCACCTCTAGTCCCCTACCCTAGACTACAGGCTCCCCTCTAGAAGCACAGCTCCCCTATGCAGGTAACTCAGTCTCCCTGGTCACTCTGTCTCCTCTGAGAAGCTATTTTGGCCCTAAGAAAGGAACACATACTTCTAGGGAACTGGAGAGCAACACCACTTAGGCCAGTTGGCTTCCCTCGGCATCTGCTTGAGACCCGAGGAGCTACCTCCAGAACATGAGTTATGGACACATGCTCACTGGCAGAGGGGTCTCTCACAGGCGAGGTCCTGCCAACCTCCAGCAGCCTCTTAGGGGATGGGGAGCACCCCTTCCTTGCAAGATGCAAATTAAGTGCGCAAGTGGCCTATCTCCAGGCAGTAGCAGCTGTTCTCTTTACGGGACTTTGCGGCAGGGACCTGATCTGATGGCACTGGGTGGGTCTGGGCTACTCACCGAGGAGCAGCAACACTAGGATGATGATGAGAACCACAAAGAAGGTATTGCCATAGCTCACCACCAGCTCTACCAGGCGGGACTTGAAAATCTTCTGCCACCTAGAAAGGAGATGAAAGGAAGAGAGGCTGAAGAGGCAGGTACCCGGGAGACTGGCTCTGAGCAGAATACAGAGCCAGACTGGGACCCTCTGCCAGGGGCCAAGGAGCCCATTCAGCTGGCCTCGGCTGCTGCTGATTCTCCACCTCACAGCCTCTGCAGCACATCGGCTCAGAAAAAGGAGCCTGTGTAGAAATTCAAGGAAGCAGTAGCAAGGGGAAACATCGGCACTATCCCTCTGCAGTATTCAAAGTGTTTGCCACACAACTGGGCTATTTCTCAGAATGGTCCTTCTATACACTGTACCTTCAGCTGTCTGGTCCTCACCACCCTGGTTCACGGGGAGGGACCCTAGACCTTCCAGCATTCCCACACGCAGATGCCTTAGAATGCAGGTCCCAGGAAGGGTTTTCGAAAGCATTCACACACTGGGCCATCAGCAAGGCAGCCTCAGCTCCAGAGGCATGGCTGGAGAGCCCAGTTATTACATCTGGCAGTAATCCCCACTATCTGACTCGCCATCGAGCTCATGTCTCCAGTCTGTCTTATTCTTCTGTTCCCCTTTCTCCTGTTTTGGTTTTTTTTTCCCAACTGCCTCTGTGCAGAAACCAGGCTGTTTGTCCTACAGAGCTCTGCAATTCCTCTGAACCACAGGCAAACTAACTGTCCTGCGAACTACTCCTTAGGGTTTTCAGTTTTTCAGTTAACACGTTTTTAAACATATTTGTGGCAATTTAGCCTCATCCATAACACTCCAGCTGAAACAGGAATAATGTGGCTATGTATAATTAAAATTAACCTTCTATTAACTTTTACTGGGTCCTCTGGCCTCATCCTTCTAGGCTGAGTAACGCTCACAAGGCTACTGCGCAACACCAGTGAGGCTGGTTAGGAGGACAGAAGTCAACCAAGCAGCAGCACTACAGCCGGTGGTGCAAGTGTTGGGTGCCCAGGGCTATCCCAAGGGCCAGCCCAGCCCATGCTGCCCAAAGTGCCCACAGCTAGGCCAGAGGGCGTAGCCTCCAGAGCAGCACGGCACCTTCTTCTCAGGTCATTTTGGAAACCAGAGGGCAGGGTGCACAGGAAGGGAATTCAGCAAGATGTGACCAGGCAGTCGAAAGCACCCCCTGCTCTCCCCATTCTGAAAAGATTCTGTTTCCACCTGGCCCAGTTCCAGGGTCCCCTGGTTTTGCACACACACAACAGGGGCAGGAGCCAGGCACCCCCCACACACCACTCCCCCCTGCTCGCCCCATGCTGCACCTTTTGGGAGAAATGAAGGGAATGCAGAGGAGCAACACGGCAAAGACCTCAGCATAGAGGAAAGTGGCGACCGCAGTCCACTGCAGACTCATCCTGTGTGAGCAGGTTTCCACCGGAGAGTTGCAAGCTTGTTTCCTGGGAAAGCGCAGAGGATACAGGAGGGGCTGTGAGGCTGTGCGGCCAGTTCAGGCACCCCACAGGAAACTGCAATGCCAGTCTTCACCCTGAAACCCCTCCCCCAAAGCCCTGGCTGAACCAGGGCCGCACTGAGCTGGCATACTCGTCGGACAAGCCCCAAACTTCCATCTGCTGTAAGTCACTCGCCCCTCTGCAGTATGTGTGTGGTCACATCCAGCTCCATCCTCCCCAGGGAGCCCAGGAGACTCCCAAAGCCTGGCTGAAGAAGGCATCCTGCACCCATCGGGTTCAGCTTGGGCAAGCATGCTCCAGGCCGAAGCAGCCACCCTGGGGACACAGGGTTTCAGAGACCACCGTCCCCGATAGCTGCCCCTCGGCAGCTCTCACGACGGGCACACAGAATCCAACAGCTTCCTCTGCAGCTGTTTTCGGGAGCGAAAAACCTCCGAATTACTCCTCCTGCCTCCGATGGGGCCAGAGGCCTCGGGTGCCTCCCAGCCGCCCCACATGAGCGACTCCTACAGGGCAAGAGCCGCGGGCAACAGCAAATGCAGCTCCCCACTGAGCACCTTAAGGCCTCGTCCCGAGAAACTTCTCGAAACGGCGGGTCTTCTCGCAAACCACTGCAAGCCCTCGCGGCAGCCCAGGTAGGCCACGGCGCCACACAGCTCGAGGGCCGCCTGCGAGGTACCGGGGGACCCCAGGGGCCGCAACTCAGCACGCCCTCCCCCAGGGCTCACGCCCCCGCCCCTCGGGCTGCCGCTTCACCAAGGTTCCCGTCGCGTCGCTGACCCCGCGGCCGCCACCGCCACTCCTGTGTTCCTGGTCCGGCCCTGCCCGACCCGCACTCGCAGGCGGGCCCTGAACCAAAGACTTCTCAGGGCCTCGTTCCCTCCGCAGTGCTCCCTCTTCTTCTTGGGCGAGGGGCCAAGAGAAGCTCCATGGCCAGCGACCCTGGCGACCCCAGCGACCCTGGTGGCCCAGGGCCCAAGGCTGGACCAAGACCCTGCTCACCGGGTTTCTCACAGGCACCGTGCACGCCCAGCCGCAGACACCAAACTCTCCCACCACAGCCTCGGCCCCGCCCCTTACGCCGCAGCCGGAAACCGGAAGCGCCTGTCGTGCCCCGCCCATCAATCCTCGCGAGGCCCTGGCAGCTCCGCCCAGTGCCTCTTCCGCCCCGCCCCCAAGCCGAGGGCCAAGCACCCAGCGCCTAGGAAGGAGCGGCACCTCGCGGCCCAGGGCTGTGTCTCCAGCGCTCCTGAGGCCCAGAGGCGGGGTGGGGCCGAACCTTGGCGGGAGGGCGAGAGCTGCCTCTCTAGCCCGCAGACTGGGTCCTCATCTCTGTGGTTGGAGTGGGCGGGGCCGTCCATGGGGCGAGATCGGGGTGGGGCGCCCGGGGCCCAGACTCCGCCTCCCGCCCCTCCTCCGCCTCCCGCCCCTCCTCCGCCTCCTCCCCTTCCCTGGCTCGCCCCTCGGGGAGGGCTAGATGGGTGGGGATTCTGGGCCTGTGGCGGAGTCACTGTCGCTTGAGCCTGCCTGCGGAGCGGATGGACGCGCCTGGTGCCCCGGGGAGGGGCGCCGCCGGGCGGGGGTAGGAGGAGGAGGGAAAACGCCCTCACTGCCCGAGCCCTCTGGAGGCTGTGACCTCAGGGGCTGGGGGACAGAGGAGCCAAGCTCCAGCAACTGGGCTGCCCGACGAGGCCACCGCACCAGGTCCCCTGTCACCACCCCAGGGGCCTAGAACGGCAGTCTCAGGGACCACTGCAAGGTTTCCAGTTGCCTGGACAACGGGCTCCGGCTCAGAGCAACAGCCTTTCTAGCACCTGCTTCTCCTGCTGCTGCCTCCGCTGCTACAGCCTTGGGCACCAGGTGACATGCCGGTGCTCTCCACCCCACGGCCCTCGCGGGTGACCACACTAAGGCGCACAGCGGTGGTCCTGGCGCTCACGGCCTACGGAGCCCACAAACTGTACCCACTGGTGCGCCAGTGCCTGGCCCCAGCCAGGGGTCCGCAGGGCCCAGCCGGGGAGCCCACATTGGAGGCCCTGGGGCCCACTGCGGCCAAGGCTGGCATGAACCGGGTGTTCCTGCGGCGGCTCCTGGTGCTTCTGCGGCTGCTGTTCCCCAGGGTCTTATGCCGGGAGACCGGGCTGCTGGCGCTCCACTCGGCCGCGCTGGTGAGCCGGACCTTCCTCTCCGTCTATGTGGCCCGCCTGGACGGCCGGCTGGCCCGCTGCATTGTGCGCAAGGACCCTCGTGCCTTCGGCTGGCAGCTCCTGCAGTGGCTGCTCATCGCGCTGCCTGCCACCTTCGTCAACAGCGCCATCCGCTACCTGGAGGGCCAGCTGGCCCTGTCCTTCCGAAGCCGACTGGTGACCCACGCCTACAGCCTCTACTTCTCCCAGCAGACCTACTACCGCGTGAGCAACATGGACGGGCGGCTTCGCAACCCGGACCAGTCCCTGACAGAGGACCTGGTGGCCTTCGCCGCTTCCGTGGCCCACCTCTACTCCAACCTGACCAAGCCGCTGCTGGACGTGGCTGTGACCTCCTACACACTTGTACGGGCAGCACGCTCCCGTGGGGCCGGCACAGCCTGGCCCTCGGCCATCGCGGGCCTCGTGGTGTTCCTCACAGCCAACGTACTTCGGGCCTCCTCGCCCAAGTTCGGGGAGCTGGTGGCTGAGGAGGCACGGCGAAAGGGGGAGCTGCGCTACATGCACTCTCGAGTGGTGGCCAACTCGGAGGAGATCGCCTTCTATGGGGGCCACGAGGTGGGGCAGGCCAGGGTCCAGGGAGGCCAGGGCTGAGGCTGGAGGGGCAGGCAGCCTGGGAGGGACCAGGGACAGTGGGAATGCAGAAGTGGCCCGGTGAGGCAGGAACTGTCCCGTATGGACTGCCCGCTGCTCCAGGTCACTTCTGCTTCTGTGTTCTGGCTCACCCTGCTCCGGCAGCCAGCCAGGGCCCCTGCTTACTGCCCAGCCTGAGCTGCGGCCCCGGGCCTTTGAAGGCCAACACCCGGCACAGCTGGCTGGCGGACCGTGCAGGCATTATAGACATGACTCAGCCCAAGCCAAGGTTAACGAGCAGGACCCAGCTTGGGGGCCACGGTGGCGGCCGCAGCACTCAGGGTCAAGACTGCTGGGGCCCTGGGCCTAACCGGCTAGGCTGCCTCCCCGAGGTCTTGGGCCAAGGCTGCCTGGCCCCAGCCACCGCAGCAGAACACACTTCCTGCCCACCCCGAGGCCGCCCTGCCCCCAGCGTAGCTGCCCTTCCGCCTAGCTGCGCACACAGCTCCGGGGTGGCCTAGGGGCGAGCGGCAGGCCCTGGGAAGGTTACCCAGGCCACTTCTTCTAGCGCCTGCCCCACCTCTTCCTCGTGCCTGGGGCGCAGCTGCCTTAGGCCAGCTCTCCCTCCTGACTCCACTTTCAGTTCCCCGAATGCGGGGGGGGGGGGGGGGGGGGGGGCCTCCATCTCCCTCTCCCAGGGACTTTGTATCATTGAGAAGCAGCTTGCCTGTCTGATTTTTGAAAGCGCAGCTTGTCCCAGAGCCCAGAAAGGATATCTAGGGCAGTGCCAGATGTCAGATTAGGAGGAAAAGTGTAGCCCTAGGTGGTGCCCCTCTGCCGCTGTCTTCTTCCACCCGGGCTGCAGGGCTTGGCAGGCAGCTGTGACTTTGGGTGAGACGCTTGGCACGGTCCCCACAGCTACATCGAAGGTTTGGCTGGTGCTCCTGCCTCTCCCAGCACGAGCCGGCTCCCAGGCACTCGAAGGGGCCGGGCTCACTCCAGGAATGGGAGCCGGGGCCTGGGCAAGGCCAGCTATGGAAATAGCAGGCTCGCCAGGGCAGGGGCCCAGGTACATCCTGGGCCTCACTGTGGTCTCCCTTGTGGGGTGACAGCTCCCACAGGTGGTTTGATGGCCCTTACTGTACAGGCATGCGGCACCACTGGCAGGTGTCCCCAAGGACACCAGCCTCGGCACAGATCAATAGGTGAGGGCAGACAGCGGAGTAGACTTCTCTGTAGGAGTTTGGTGAAGCTGCCTATTTTTTGTTTGTTTTGTGGATACAGGGTTTGCCATTAATCCAGGCTGTGCTTGAACTTGCTACCTAGTCTAGGCTGGTCCCGATTCTCAGGGACTCTCCTGCCTCGGCCTCTGCGATGACAGGCATGCACCACGGGCGCCTGGGCAGGCTGCTTGTCGAAATCCAAACATGCGCACAACCTCTTGCTGAGAACAAAGTAACTTTCCTAGTCAAAGAAAGATCCTTTATAAGGATCCATCCGGCCCTAGCAGCCCCGTCAGCATGGCCCATGTTCCTGCCTCCCTCAACGCCTCGGGGCAGTGGTACAAGCTTGGACAGGTCACTGTGTCTCTGGGCTCCAGTGTCCTCCTGAGGGCATGAAAGTGACCAACAGTGCTGAGCTGGCATCTGGTGCTGGGCATTTGTGGGGCAAGCCCAGAGCCCTCAGCTACCATGCTACAAACACTTTCCACACTCCTGGCCTCTCCTGCCTGTTTGGGCGCTGCTGCCCCTTCCCACAGAGACACCTGTCCCTTTCTAGTATGCCAGGTGGTGTCCAGGCCAAGGAAGGCCTATATGGTGCTGAAGGGGACTCCTGGATTCCACAGGAGAATGCAATTTGAACTTCCACAGACTGCAGTCCCAGGAAAGCAGTGAGAGATTGGGCCTAGGCAGGCAGAGCTAGGGACGTCGCCTTCTGCTGTCCCTGCTGCCCTTTGCATGGTGCAAGGGGCAGAAGTTCAAGTCAAGGATTCATGAGGTGGGTGAAGCCTGGAAGCAGGGACAAAAGGGGGGCCCGAGAGGCAGCCCTAAGACACGAGCTCGGCAGGGACAGAAAGGTGACTGCCCTGAGCCCTCATCCAGAAGCTACCTGCGGACAAAAAGTAGGGGCCTGGTAAGCACAAGGTGGAGAGTTCAATCCCCAATACCAAAAAAAAAAAAAAAGGGTGGGATGACGATGTCCCCATTAGAGAGGTGACTCCACTCCACACATGGCCCAATCCCGGTCATCCAAGTGGCATGGCAGGCCTGAGCTGCATGTGTCGCTCTCCCTCCCTTGGACAGGTGGAGCTGGCGCTGCTGCGGGACTGCTACCGGGCCCTGGCGGCGCAGATCAATGTCATCCTGCTGAAGCGCCTGTGGTACGTCATGCTGGAACAGTTCCTCATGAAGTACGTGTGGAGTGCCTCGGGGCTGCTCATGGTGGCTGTCCCCATCATCACTGCCACCGGCTACTCAGAGTCAGGTGAGAGTGCGGCCCACCTGCCGACATGCTTGGCATTACCGAAAGTGACGCCTTGGCATTACCAGAAGCAGGTCCCTCTCCTCTGCCTGACTGGCTTTGTCCCACCACCAGTCTGCAGTTGTTTCAGTGCATGTTCAGTCTTTCTGGGGCCACCCTTGTGATGCAGGTCATTGTTCATTTGTAGAGACCAATACTTCCCCTCCTCCTGGGCTTCATTGTCCATGTCTTTCAGGCGACTGTGAAGGTGACTTTTGCATGCTTTTATTTATTTATTTTGTCTTTTGAGATGGTCTCACTACGCAGTTCGTGCTGGCCTTGAACTCACTTTGTAGCCCAGGCTGGCCTTGAACTCAATGATCCTCCTGCCTCAGCCTCCCGAGTACTGGAGTTACTGGCACGTGCCATCATGCCTAGTGCATGGTTTTTGTTATTTATTTATTTTTTGCAGTACTAGGGATTGAATCTGGGGTTGTTGTGCTTAGCTTCATCCCCAGCCCTGTTTATTAACATATTTATTATTTTTTATCTTTTTTGAGACAGGGTCTTGCTTGGCTAAGTCACTAAGTCACCTAGGCTCAGCTCAAACGTGTGATCATCCTATCTCAGCCTCCCAGAGTGCTGGGATTCCAGGAATGCACCACATCATGTGGTTTATGTGGGATTCTTTTCCCCTCTGAAATGGGGTCTTGCTATGTAGCCCAGCCTGGCCTTGAACTCATGCCGATCCTCCTGCCTCAGCCTCCCTCTAGAGTCCTGGCATGATAGGCATGTACCGCCATACCCAGTTTTGTGTGATTTTTATCCTTAGCTGTTGCTTTGATCCAATGGCTGAGTGTGTCAACCCACCTGTGCATGACTGAGTGATTTGTACTCCATCTAGAGCAGCACAGAATATTAAAGAGAGGAGACAACTAGATAAGAAAGAGTTTAATGGGGGGCACGGAGGGAGTCACCACAGAGAAGGCTGTGGCGGCTCTGCAGACAAAGGGCGGGTTCTGCCTGGTGTAGGCTCTGATGGGGAAGGGCTCTGGGCACTGATGTGAGCTGATTTATTTCATGAGAGTGCAGGGAGTTGGGTAAACCTTTACATGCCTGAGCTTTGGCAGACTTTTGGGAGGGAGAAGCCATAGCGGCTTCTGGGAAGAAGGTGATGTGCATTATCAGGGCACTGTTTTGAACCATTGCCATGGTGACTGTGCTTCTCTCAGATGGGGGACCTGACAGTTTCCCTGCTCAGAGCCCTGTGCTTCCACCTCGGTCTTCGCTGTATCCTATTTTCTTCTTTCAGACAAGCAAGAGATTCAGGAGTTTTGTCCTGGGACACTTAATTATTTCGTTGTCAAAAAACGTTATTTCAACCCAATTCCTGAGCTAAGTGAGACTCTGGCACATAGTGCATGCTGTGATCTCCACACTTGGGAAACTGAGGCAAGAGGCTCTCTGCAAGTTCAAGGCTAGCTTATACTACATAGCAAGACCCTTTCCCAGGGGAAAAAACAAAGAAGTTAAGCTGGGAGAGGACCAGCAGCAGATGAGCACTTTCTGTCAGCCCAGGCAGTGCCCCATTGTCTTGGAGCCCCTGCCCCTGCCTGAGCTGTGCAAAGTCTTACCATCTTGCTACATTGCCGGGGCACCTTTTCCCATCGGCCTTCTTGGTGGCCTGCAGTTTTGCTACACTAATTCCGTCATTTGCCAGTGTTCAGCCACCTCAAATGTGAAGTTTTGGGTTTTGATTTTGTTTTGTTTTTGAGATGGAGTCTCACTTTGTAGCTGAGGATGGCCTCAAACTCACGGTAATCCGCCCGCCTCGGTCTCCCAAGTGCTGGGAGGACAGGCGCGTGCCCCTACACCTGGCTGTTGAATTTACTTTTACATGGCAGTGACTATTTCTGTAAGTTGTACTTGATTCTCTTCTAACTGGAAATTTGAAAAGAGAACTTTTCTTTTTCAAATTCAGAACTGGTTTCCAAGTCTTAACTGGCTCAGCTTCAGCCCCATGGGCTCATGGCCTCTGCCCTCTACTCAGACCTTTTGTTATCTGAAGTCCTTCTGCCCACAGGTCGTTACCCTGCGTACTCATTTCCACCTAGGTATATAATACCTTCTTCTTTTTATTTTGATTATGGGGTCTCATTGAGTTGCCCAGGCTGGCCTCCATCTTGCAATCCTCCTGCCTAAGCCTCCCAAGTACCTGGGGTTACAAGCTTGTGCCACCATGCCTGACCCAACTCACTTTAAACTCTTGTTTGGTTTGACAGCAGGAGGGTTTCCAGTCCTGTGCATGTGTCAGCTCAACCTGTTTCCAAAATCCTCCCCTCTGCCTTTCTTTCCCCTGACCCCCAAGAGGAAGGGCTGACTGTCTGGTTTCCAGAAATGCCAGGCAGCTCTGGCCACAGGGAGTGCGGCTGGAGCATGCGCAGTGTGCTCCACCTCAGTGTGCTTGCCTCGAAGCCCTGGCTTCGCTGCCTCGCCTGCCACACCTCACTTCACCTCCTCAACTGCCTCTCTACCCTCGTACTGCTGAGCCCCAGGACCTGGGAAGTGAGGGTGCTGTGCTGTCAGGGAACAGAGACGGCGCTGCCCCCGGGGCAGTTTCGGGAGCGTGGCTTTGCTGGCCTGCCCACTGCAGGGCCGGGTGATGGCAGGAACAGTGAGTCTTTGTTTTGTATTTTTTTTTTTTTTTTGAGGCAGGGTCTCACTATATAGCCCAGGCTGGTCTCAAACTTGCAATGATCCTCCTGGCCTCAGCCTCCCAAGTGCTGGGATCCATCCAGAATATTTTTACACTGCAAAAAGAAAGTGCAGAGCCACTGTGGGTCACTTCCCAGTTCCCCCTCGCCTGGCACTTGCAGTTACTGTGCATTTTTTATGTCTGGGTTCATGTTGTAGGGATGTCTCATAGGAATGGAATTCTGCTGTGTGTTGTGAGTGCCCAGGCTCTTCCACTGAGCATAACCATGTCCAGAGTTCCCCATGCTGGCAGATTAGTCAAGAGGCCCTTGCTTTTTGTGTGGGGCTCAGTCATATGTCACACACATCGCCTCCTGAGCTGTCCCCACCATCTTTACCCATCCATCCATCCATCCTCCATCCATCCATCCATCCATTTCTAGTGTTCAGCCAGCCAGCCATCTGTCCTCATCTTTACCAGTCCGTCCATCCATCCATCCATCCACGGTCTCCATCCATCCATCTCCAATCTTTATCCACGTGTCTGTTCATCTGGGGCACATGGTGGCTGTTGCCCTCTGGCTGTGGCAGGCGAGCAAGGTTTCTCCTGGACCTGTGGCTCACGTTGCTTGGTGTCAGCCTTGTGAGGAGTGGCCAGGCTGTTTTCCAAGCAGCTGTGCCCTTCTATCCCTGTCGCCATGGCTGTGGTTCCCCGGCTCCCTGTGGGTTGAGGGATTGACTTGCATTTCCCAAGTGACCAGTGATTTTCAGCGTCTGGCCGTGAGTTTATTTGCCATGTATTTTTGCTGTTGTTCTAGTTTTTTAATTTTTTTGAGACAGGACTCCACCATATAGCCCAGGCTGGCCTAGAACTCACAGCAGTCCTCCTGCCTCAGTCTTCCGAGTGCGGGGATGACGGGCCTGCAGCACCACAGCCAGCTGTGTCTTTTGTCAAGGGTCTGCCCTGACTATTTGCCAGCACTGGATTGGGGTGTCCAGCTCTTGCTCTTCGAGCTGGGAGGCCTGTGCGTCTCCTGCTGCCTGCCCCCTCGCAGCCGTGCCGCCTGTACACCACTGCTCGCAGTCTCCTTCTTTCCCCTTCCAAAGTGCTGAGGCTCAATGAAGTGCGACTCACCTGGTTTTCTTTAAGACTGCCCAGTGCTGTTGCTGTATCCTAGAGCTCAGGCCAGTTTTCTTCTAAGACTTCTAGAATTTTACTTCCAGCACACTGAGCTGGAAGCCCTTTGGAGTTCAATTTTGTGAGTGACGCTGTCACTGGATGGGCTTTGAGGAAGTCCACTGAGGAGGACAAGGGAGCCTCCCCTGTCCCCTGGTGGATTCTTGCCCCCTCACAGAAGACTTGCAGGACTTGCCAGGTGTAGTGCACACCTGTTATCACAGCACCTGGGAGGCTGGGGCAGGAAGATTGCCATGAGTTGCAGGCCAGTTTGGGCTAATAGTGAGCTCCAGGCCAGCATGAGATACACACCACACCCTGTCTCAAAAAAAGAAAAGAAAACAAACCCACTGAGCCAGATGCTTGGGGGTAAGGCACATTATAGTTGGCATGGGAGATTCCAGTGGTCCTGCGGCCTCAAGACAGGTGACCTGAGCACTTCCTTCTAGGAGACATAGCTACTCACTATGTAACTACTGACTTTGTAGCCCAGGCTGGTCTCAAACTCACAGCAGTCCTCCTGCCTCAGCCTCCCGAGTGCTGGGATGACAGGTGTATGCCACCACGCCCAGTTTTTTGTAGTTTTCTGAACTTGCCAGGCCACAAGAAATCACCTGGTGGCTCTGGCCAGATTTTGACACTCTTCTTTTAATCCCTCTATCACAGCCTCGGTTTCTCTCAGACTAGGGCATCGTTTAACATTATGGGAATTTCAGAAGTCACTGGCACCTATCCTACCCTCTCTCCTTTACTTTCCTTGTTTGCTTCATCTGTGTGTTGGGTTTCTCATACAGAAGAACCCATGGCATCTGGTGATTTCACTTAGCAGCCTGTCCCAAGGCGCATCCATTTTCCTACAATGGCTCAGGCTTACCCTTCTTTAGGACATCGTAGGGCTCCATTGTGTGTAAATCCCACATTGTCTTTCTCCATTCATCTGCTGATGGACATATGGGTCGCTTCCAAGATTTAGCTCTTCTGTGCCACTATAAACATGGGTGAAGTGCTCGCTTTGGCAGCGCACATAGTAAAATTGGAATGATACAAACAAGATTAGCGTGGCCCCTGCACAAGGATGACACAAATTCATAAAGTGTTCCATATTTTAAAAAAGAAATAAACATGGGTGCGCATGGACTACTGCGATATGTCTGTCACTCTTTCAGGAAGATGCCTAGGAGGGGAATTGCAGAGTCTAACAAAATTTTAGGTTTTTTGTTTGATTGTTTTTTTTTTTTATTTTTTGTACCAGGAATTAAACTCAGGCGCTGCCACCAAGCTAAATCCCTGGCTACTTTTAGTTTTTGAAATATGCCTAGAAATGGAATAGCTGGGTCAAATGGGACCTCCAATCCCAGCTTTTTGAGGAATCTCCAGAATGACCTCCACAGTGGTTGTACCAGTCCACACACCCACCAATAGTGCAGGAGAATTCCTTTTTCCCCACAGCTTCTCCAGCATTTGTTGTTGGTAGTTTTCTTGATCCTGGCCATTCTTTCTGGAGTGAGATGGAATCTCAGTGTGGTTTTAATTTGCATTTCTCTAATAACCAATAATGATGAACATTTTTTCATGTATTTATTTGCCATTTGTATTTCTTCATCTGAGAACTGTATATTCATCTCAGATGCCCATTTTTGGATTGGGTCCTTGAATTTCGGGGGTCTGATTTTTTTTTCGAAATTCTTTATATGTTCTAGAAAGAAGTCCTTTGTCTGAGGGACAGAGCACTAAGATTGTTTCCCAGTTTGTGGGTTTTCTTTTCACTATGCTGGAGATTTCTTTTGACATGCAGAAACTTTTTAATAAGAGGTGATTCCAGTTATTGATTTGGGGAAGTATTTCTCGTGCAGTTTGATTCCTGTTCATGAAAGGTGTGCAGATTTCATGTTCTTGGGTTAGCCATTGGGACTGGGTAGGACAAGGGTCGCCTCCCCTTGATGGCTGCAGGTGGGCCAGTGTCCTCTATAGCATGACCCCCCCCATGACCTTTCTGCTCCCACACAGACTCAGAGGCTGCGCAGCGGGCCGCCTTGGAGATGCAGGAGGAGGAGCTGGTGAGCGAGCGCACGGAGGCCTTTACCATTGCGCGTAACCTGCTCACAGCTGCAGCCGATGCCACCGAGCGGATCATGTCGTCCTACAAGGAGGTGACAGAGCTGGCTGGCTACACGGCGCGCGTGTACGAGATGTTTCAGGTGTTCGAAGATGTCCAGCACTGTCGCTTCAAGCGACCAGGGGAGCCAGAGGACACCCAGGCCGGGACGGGAGCTGTGGTACGCTCCGGCATCCGCGTGGAGGCACCACTGCGCATCCGAGGTATGTGGCTCTGCCTGCTGCCCAGCCTGGTCACTGGGGACCTGAGGTGAGCCCAGAGGAGAGGCCAGCCAGCTGCCCCTATGTGGCACTCAGTGGAGTGCGGCACATAGGCCTGGCATGGGAACTACCTTTGTTTGGTTTGGTTTTGATTTTGGAGACATGGTCTCACAAGGTAGTTCCGGCTGGCCTGGAACTCAGGGCGATCCTTCTGCCTCAGCCTCCCAAGTGCTGGGATGGCAGGCTTCATGCCACCTCACCCAGCTTGAAGGTGGGGCCAGCAGAGGTCTGCTGAGGAGTAGGCGCTGGGCTCGGGTTACAGAGCACGCATGGAGCAGCCCAGCCCGGGCTCTGTGCTCAGCTCCTGGAGGCTGCACTGCTTCCGGAGCTCACCCTCCCCACCTCCCCTCTGCAGGCCAGGTGGTGGACGTGGAGCAGGGCATCATCTGCGAGAATATCCCCATCATCACACCCACTGGAGAGGTGGTGGTGGCCAGCCTCAACATCCGGGTAGGTGGGCGGGGTGGGGTGCCTGGGGAGACACCTGCACCTCCAAGCCTAGTCCTTGGCCTGGCCCGCTGGCAATAGCCCTTGTCCCCACATCTGTGTGGTAGATGGGACAAGGTCAAGGGAGAGACAGCATGTCCCTGACAGTGCCTGCCAGGGCAATAGTTGGGGCCAATGACAAGGCTTGTGGTTGCCAGAACTAGCCAAGGGTTACCCACATTTGCAGGCCCTGTCCCTGCTGGCTCCCTAGCCTCCCAAAAGGGTCAGACCTGGGACTTCGGTACCCCTGCAGCTGCAGGCAATGACACTACTGCTGTCCCTAACTGGCCCCAAGGGTGCCCAGCCCAGGGCCCTGCCGTCCACTGTGAACAGCCCAGCCCAGGGTGTGTAGTAGACACAGAGCTGTCCCCAGAAGTGTTCCCATCCCTTCAGGGGAAGGAGAGGGATTGCCAGGCCCGGGGTTGGAGGTGTGCTGCAGCTGGAGACCCGGAAGTGCCAGGACCAGGGGCAGGAGCAGAGCGGCGCACCCAGGGCTGCCTACCCTTTAAGAAAACAATTTTATAGAAAACAGGTTTTTGGGGCTGGGGATTTAGCTCAGTGGCATAAGCACCTGCCTTGCAAGCAGGCAGTCATGAGTTCGATCCCTGGTACTGATAAAAATGAAAAAGACAAAAAAAAAGAAAAAAAAACAGGTTTTTGTTTGGTGGGGGACTATTCATTGGTTTTGTTTTTTGTCTTTTTGAGACAGGGTCTCACTGTGCAGTTCAGGCTGGCCTTGAACTCACTGTGTAGCCCAGGCTGGTCTCAAACTTGCAGTGCTCCTCCTGCCTCAGCCTCCAAAGTACTGAGATGGGGGTTGGGGATTTAGCTCAGCAACATAAGTGCCTGCCTTGCAAGTATGTGGTCGTGAGTTTGATCCCTGGTACCGATAAAAAAGAAAAAAAAAACCAAAGTACTGAGATGGCAGACAGGCATGTGCCACCTCATCCCATATACTTTGAACTCTGTGCTGGGTGCTGGAACCCAAAGATAAAGCAGGGGCCCTGCCCTCAGCGTCTCTGGTGACCTGTCCTCAGGTCATGCTCTCCCTGTGTGCAGCCTCCCTCCTGTTTGTGGTCCTCACCGTTGGCTCTGCCTTGAGCCCCACCTCCAGCTCTCCTCGCCAAGTCACTGTGTTGCCCGGCTGGGCTCAAACTTAAGGTCCTCCTGCCCCAGCCTCCCAGAGTGTTGGGGTGACATCTCTGTACCACTGCGTCCAGCTAAAACTCCCTTTCTCTAGGGACCCCGATAATGTTGCATGAGGGGCTGTGCCAGCATCCCACCAAGCTATTTTAACTAGTTACATTTGTGATGATCGCATCTCCACACAGGGTCGCTCCCTGGCCACTGGGCCACAAGACTCCAATATATGAACCTGGGGCACACAGTTTGACCCATGTCACTGCGTGAGGTGAACCAAAGGCCCAGTCAGGAGTCCTGTGCCTGGTGTCACTATCTGTTGCTTTCACAGATAAAGAAGGAAAGGACAAAGGGCACTGGCACTGGTGGCACTGGGCAACCTCTGGCCCTGGAAGCCTGGGCACCACGTGCCAGTCACGGGTGCTGATGGCCTGCAGAAAAGACAGTCACCCACCACTCATGCGACCTGGCGTCCTGTGGGGACTGTGCTGTGCAGGAATCGTGGCAGAATGCAGGATGAGCAGGCCTGGGAGATGCTGCATGTCCTGAGACATGCCCATCCCTTCCTCTTGCACCTACCCTGTGCTCTCTGGACATGTTGAGCCTTAGGGTTGGGGCCAGGTCCCACTCATCTGCCACCTCCTGGGACAGGACCTGTCCCTGTGGCCTGCCACCCCTAACCAAAAGATCCAACCCAGGCATTGTGGTATACACCTGTAATCCTAACACTCAAGAGGCTGAGGCAGGAGGATCGCTATGAGTTCAAGGCCAGCCTGGACTGCATAGCGAGACCCTGTCTCAAAAAACCAAAAATTAATCAGTTAATTAACTTAAAAACCAACACCTGCCCGTGGTGCCACCCTTCTGCAGGTGGAAGAAGGCATGCACCTGCTCATCACAGGCCCCAACGGCTGTGGCAAGAGCTCACTCTTTCGGATCCTGGGCGGGCTGTGGCCCACGTACGGTGGCGTCCTCTACAAGCCCCCGCCACAGCGCATGTTCTACATCCCGCAGAGGTGAGGCCTCAGAGCCAGCTGCCAGCGGGCCGCACGTGGGGTGCCTGTGTGTGGCCATCGCCTGGGAGCTCATGGCGACACCCCACCTGCTCTCCACAGGCCTTACATGTCTGTGGGCTCTCTGCGCGACCAAGTCATCTACCCGGACTCGGTGGAGGACATGCGCCGCAAGGGCTGCTCAGAGCAGCAGCTGGAAGCCATCCTAGACATCGTGCACCTTAACCACATTCTACAGCGGGAGGGAGGTGTGTGTGACCGCCCGCCCTGCGCCCCTTCCCCGCAGGCAGTGACCCCAGGTGACACACATCCAGAGACTGCAAAAAGGGGGCTTCCTGTAGGGCACTCGCCCCATTGGGAGGCTCCCCCCATTAACCCTCTCTCAGCAAAGACAGCTCTGAGCCAAGACCTGCAGGTCCCTGAGTGGTCACCCCATTTGTGAGCCAGGGGACACCAGGACAGAGCAAGGGACCAGAAGCCCTTGAGACGGCTTAGGCAGGGAGGTGACAGGTCAGCCAGCGTTGCAGCAGGCCGGGGCTAGGATGTGATGCTGCTGTGTTTGCCCCCAGAGTCCACTGTGTGGGGAGGGTGGCAGGGCTGCTAGGGACAAGATGGCCTTGGGCAGAGCCCTTCCCTCAGCCCGCTTGGAGTGTGGCAGGGAAGACCAGGTGCCGGGCCTCCACCTCCCTTCCTGAGGGACCCCAGGCAGCCGCTCAGGGCAGGGCAGGGGCAGGAGGAGGTCTGCCACTCGCCGGGCCTTCCATCCACCCTTGCCCTGCCCTGCCAGGCAGCTGCCACTACACTTGTTAGGACTGAGTTTGGCCGGGAACAGGGCCTTCTGTCTCTTGGTCTTGTTTTCTTGCTTTGTTTGTTTGTTTGGTTTTGAGACAAGGTCTCACTATGCGATTCAGGCTGGCCTTGAACTCACCGTAGCCCAGGCTGGCCTCACACTCACAGCAGTCCTCCTGCCTCAGCCTCCCTGGGATTACAGTTGTGCACCACCAGGCCTGGTTTCCTTCTGTTTTTCAAAGACAGTTCCACAGGCTGCTATGCATGTGACACACATGGCTGCGGGCTGCCACCTACCAAGCCAAAAAGCAGGGCTTTCGTTCTGAGCTGCCAGGTGCCCTAGCAGAAGGGGTGGCAGGAAAAGAGGCACCTGTGCCTTCATGTCGTCTTTCCTCCATGTGCGCGTGTCTCTGTAGCCTTATCTAATGTCCCCTGTAGCCGTCCTGTTGGATTCTGGCCACCAGCCAGTGGATCTCTTTGCCCTTCCAGTCACCTTCCAAATGCCGTTGCATGAAGGTATGGGTAGGGCTCTGCAGGCCTTCCCAACTCCCTTCCTTTCTTTTCCTCTCTCTGTCTCTGTCTCTCTGTCTCTCTGTCTGTGCAGTTCAGGCTCACCTTGAACTCACTGCATGGCCCAGGCTGGCCTCAAACCCACTACAGTCTTCCTGCCTCTGGCTCCTGAGTGCTAGGATGACAAGTGTGTGCCGCCACATCCAACTCCAGCTCCTTTTCAGTTATCAAAGTACCACAGACAGACAGGGAGACAGGACACAGGGCAGAAGCAGTTCACGGGCCAGCCGCTCTGGGGTCAGAGGTGCCCGAGTTGGCCCCCGTAGACACCCCACCCCTACCTGACCGCTCACCCCTGTGCAGGTTGGGAGGCCCTGTGCGACTGGAAGGACGTGCTGTCGGGGGGTGAGAAGCAGCGCATTGGCATGGCCCGGATGTTCTACCACCGGTGAGGCTGGATGGCCGGGGGGAGGGGGCGGGGGGGCGGGGGGAGCAGGGGCGGGAGCAGCCTGGGCCAGCCCGTCCCCTCCTGCACCCCAAGGCCCAAGTACGCCCTGCTGGACGAGTGCACCAGCGCCGTAAGCATTGACGTGGAGGGCAAGATCTTCCAGGCGGCCAAGGATGCGGGCATAGCATTGCTATCCATCACCCACCGGCCCTCCCTGTGGTAGGTGCCCTTGGGCTTCAGCCTGCCGGGGGAGGGGGGCAGCCTGGTGGGGACAGAGCCACAGCCAGGTCCTGCCATGTCCCCGCAGGAAGTACCACACGCACCTGCTACAGTTCGACGGCGAAGGCGGCTGGAAGTTTGAGAAGCTGGACTCGGCTGCGCGGCTGAGCCTCACGGAGGAGCGGCAGCGGCTAGAGCAGCAGCTGGCTGGGGTCCCCAAGATGCAGCAGCGCCTCGAGGAGCTGCGCCACATCCTGGGCGAGGCCACTGGGCCTGGCATCCCCAGCTGAGTGCTGGGGGGGGCACTGCCGCCCTGCCCTGCACTGCCCCAGGCTCTCGGATCACATGAAGGAACTGACATCCCCACCTGTCCCCGCCACCAGCCTGCCTCCCTTCCCAGGAGAGCGGGGACCCAGCCTCGGGCCACTGTGACTGCCAGCACCAGGCAGCAGATCTTCCCTCCACTTGGCTGGGGGAAGTGGCGCAGGGCTGCAGGCTGAGCCAGCAGATGGAGCGGAACCCCCAGACCTCAGCTCACCACCACCAGCTAGAGGACACCTCCCTCCTGAGACTCAAATCACGGCTTCCCAGTCTCTGTTGCCACCCCTGGCCCTTGGGGCACCCTTCCTGCCACCGACATAGCAGAACAGGGCCGGAGCCAAGCCCTGCGCCAGTGTCTTGCTGTCCACCAGGGGCCCTCAGGAGCCCCCTGGAATGGGGGAGGAGCCACAGAAAAGCAGCCCCGCCCTTCGCTCCTCCTCTGCCTGATGTGCGGGCTTCCCCATGGCCAGCAAGGCACGTGACCAGGCTGGGCACTCCCAATAGCCACCAGTACCCCCACCCCCACCAGCCTACACTGCCAGTTGCCACTGGGGGGCGCGCGCCACCTGTCTGCTGGGAGCCCGGGCTCCATAGCCCCAGCTCAGTGCCAAAGAGGGGTCCCAGGGAGTGCTGTGTCACCAGAGGGAGACCCCCACCGCGTGTGCCTTTCCCAGGCCCCAGGCCCCCAGGCAGGGCGACCTCAGTCCCCCTAGTAAAGCTGCTGTGGAAAATGCACTCCTGCCTGCCTGCTTCAGTGTGGGGTACTTGGGAAGAAAGCCTGGGGAGAAGCAACAGCAGCATCCCAATCTCCCCAGGATGCGCTGAAGGACCTAAGGAGGAAGAGAGTGCTGGCACATGGAACAACACCGCACAGGCTTCGATGCACAAGGACGGTGGGCAGCTGGTGGCGTAGGTGGTTGCCAGGAGGAGAGAGTGCTTAGGGGTACAGCGTTCCCTTCCGGAGGGAAGGTTCTGGAACTACGGGGGGGTGACGGGAATTTACTAGACGCTGCTGGATCCAACAGTTAGCCAGCAGACAGATGCAGGGGTCGTGGCTAGAGGGGTGATGGACAGACAGGGTGCATTGAGAAGGAGGGGGTTGAGGGGTACAAGGATGATGACAAGCATACTGGGTGCCTGAGGGAGCCGGAAGCAAGCATTTGCCCCTGCAGGCATCCAGGGACAGAGGTGGCACCCAGAGGGGCAGGCCCATGGCCTAGGGGGTGGCAGATTGGGAAGCCGAAAGTTGTCCCTATGTCTCTTTCCAAGATCGCATAACTTACTAGTACCAGCATGGAGGCGTGGGCCTACCATCTCAGTACACGGGAAGCCGAGGCAGGAGGATCACTTGTTTGAGGCCAGCCTGGGCTACCTAGTGGAGACCCTGTATCAGAAAACAAAAAAAAAAAAAAAACATTTTTAATCATCATGCCTGAGGTCACAAAGGAAGTCGCAACAGATAGAAAAACAGTTGGTGTCACACAGACCATACTCTTCAGCTATAGTAGAATTAAAAATTACACCAGGCATGGTGCACACACCTGTTACCCCAGCACTGAAGAGGCTGAGGCAGGAGAACTGCTGCAAGTCCCAAAACAAACCAAAGCATAAATCAGGAACAAAACTACAATGCTGCCCTTGCATTTGTTTGCATGTTTTATTTACTTATTTAGGGTGCTGGGGATGGAACGCAACACCTCCCGCCCACGGGGCAAGCGGTCTGCCACTGAACTGCACCCCCTGCTCCGCACTCTTCTTTTCCCTTTGAGGTAAAGGTCCATCTAGGCAAGCGCTCTGGCACTGAGCTTCATCCTCAGCAAGGTGGGGGTTTGTCTATACTTCCCAGGCTGTCCTTGAACTTGCCATCCTTCTGCCTCAGCCTTCTAAATAGCTGGGATTGCAGGCACATGGTCAGAACACCCAACAGCCCTAGAAATTTAATTTAAAAATCACAATTCCAAATAATCTGTTGGTCCAGGAAGAATTAGAAATAACTCTAAATGGCCTGCAAGGAAAAGGTAGGGCCAAAGTCCAAGCTGGACTTCCAAGGGTACTCACGGCTGCCTCAGTTTCCCTGGATTCCCCCATGGCGCAGCATGCGTGACATGCAGTCCTTGCCTGCAGTGTCCCCAGAGGTTGATGGAGGTGTGTGCTCAGTGAGTCGTGGCACCCTCATCGTTTTTTTGTCGTTGTTTGTTGATTTTTTAAGACAAGGTCTCACTATGTAGCTAACCCAGGCAGGCCTTGAACTCACTGTGTAGCCCAGGGTGGCTTGGAACTCATGATGATCCTCCTGCCTCAGCCTCCTGAGTGCTAGAATTATAAGTATGCACTACTATGCTTGACAAATACAATTTTGTTTTTGAGACAAGAGTTTCACTATGTAGCCCAGGTGGGCCTTGAACAAACACAGCCCTCCTGCCACACCTGCTCCTTTTTCGTTTTTTGCTTCCCAGCTATGAGGCAGAGCGATTTTGTTCTTCCATACCTTCTTGCTGCGAAGCTCCCTTGCCACAGGCCCAGCGTGAAGGGGCTGGCTCCTTGTGAACAGGAACGTCCCAAACCCAAAGCCAAAATAAACCTTCTATGTTTGGAAGGTGATTGTCCCTGGGATGATGCTACAGTCACAGAAAGCTGACCAACACAGCCTGCTTATGAGCACCAACTCAGCAAGAGCTCCCAGCACAGCACACCCAACCTGAAGAAAGCAGGAGGCCCCAGCACGGGGCACAGGCCTGTCCTCCCAGCACTCTGGGAGAGTAAGGCAGGAGGACCCCAAATTGGAGCCCCACCTGGACAATTTAATAATTTAGCAAGACCCTTTTCAAAATTAAAAAATAGAAAAGGCTGAGAATATAGCTTAGTGTAACAGTTCTGGGTTTGAACCCCAGTACCACAAGGAAAAGAAACAGCAGAGCCAAACAAAGCAGAAGAAAGAAAGTCAAGGCAGCTGTGGTGGCTCGCAGCTGTCATGCCAGCCTGGGGAGGCTGAGGCAGAAGGGTCCTGTGAGTTCAAGGCCGGCCTGGGCTACATAGTGAGACTCTGTCTCACAGCACAAGGAAGAAGGGAAAGAAGGCAGCAGAGGGACGTGAGCAAGACAGCAGCAACTCGGCACTTACATGGAAAGCAGGAAGGCCGGTAGCGCTGGAAGGAAATGAAGCTCCCTTGCTTCCCTTCCTGGCGGGACTGACAGACATCCAGGCAAGGTGGTGCCAGGCTGTCATCCCAGCACTCAGCGGGCGGAGGCAGCAGGCTCTCATGAGTTCAAGGCCAGCCTGGCTCTACAGCGAGTGCAAGACCGGTCTGCACTACCTAGTCAGACTCTGTCTCAAAAAATGGATTAAAATAATGTTTATTAAAAACAAATAATTATGCTCATGTAGGTAACATAAGAAAGAGATTATGTGTAACATTCTGTTTCTATAATGTTTGGGAAGCTGGGCAGGATGGCGCGTGCCTGTCATCCCAGCCTTGAGGCAGGAGGGCAACGTGGGGCCTAGTGCAGGGACAGTAAACGCACCATACCCCCGCTCCGCAGTACTGGGGATCAAAGCCAAGACCTGCACATTAAAGCATCATCCCCAGATCTTCTTATTTCTTTTTCATCCTTTTCTCTTGTGAGAGTCCTTGGTGGCCTGCAGTGGGGGAAGCAGCCTTTGATCTACCTGGTCGCCCCATGTCCAGCAGGCCTCTCGGATCCCCACGGCTCTGCAACATTCATCTGGGACATGAAGGCTCCTGCCTCACTGGCCCCCACTCCACTGGGTCCTCATGTCCGCCAGGCCCACTGCTTTCCCCTTTTATGCACCTGCCTCGGCTGCCACCCTGGGTACCTTGGGCCACCGAGGACTGTGGCCAAAAGCATCCACTCAGTGAGGATTCTTGGCCTTTCAATTTTGAAAACAGGCCAGGTGTGGGGGCAAACCTGTCTTCACAGCACTCGGGCAGCTGAGGCAGGGCAATCGTCCTGAGTTCCAGGCCAGCCTGGGCTATACAGCAACATTCTGATCAAAAAACAAACAAAAATTTCAAATAGAAATAGTAATACTACCTAGCCACCCCTTTCTGGTACCTACTTCCAATAACTGAGAACAGGATATGGCACACCTGTATCATAGCAACCATTTTCGCAGCGGGCAAGAGGCAAAAGCGACCCACATGTCCACTCTCACGTGAACGAATGAGCCAGAAGTGGGGTACAAGCATGAGGGAGTAGCATTCAGCTTTGAAAAAGGAACAAATCCCCCCGGCCACATGCTTGAGCCTGGAGGACAGGCAGCCAGGTGAGGCAGACACCGCGGGGTGTCAGATGCTTTCACTTTGAAGAGGCAGAGGACAGTGAGGCTCACCAGGGCCAAGTGCAAGGGCAGGGGAGCTGTCGGGGCACACGCAGTTTCCTGTCTGCCCAGTGGGAGCTTCTAGAGACCTGTTGCATGGCAACGACTGCCTGTTACAGAAGCATGGAGCTAGAAGGGCTTTCCAGTTCTGGGGACTGGACCCGGGGCCCCCACACTGTGCTCCATGCCAGCCCTTTTTCTTTGGAGACTTGGTTTAGCCAAGTTGCCCAGGTGGGCTCGAACTTGCAATCCCCCTGCCCCTGCCTCCCAGAGCACTGTGTTTCCAGATGTGCACCACCATGCCAGGCTTGCTCTGTGTCCTTTACCCTGGTAAAAATCGACCTGAAAAGAGCTGAAAACCAGAACACTCCTACAGTTATTAGAGAAATTGGATGAACAGTTTAAAACTCATGGCACGAAGGGCAGGAGGCTGCAAAAACAAGGTAACTGATAACCATGCAGAAGATGGGGTGTCATCCCCACCTCACACCACACACAGCCACGCACTTTCTAGGTGGCTGAGGAGGGACCCAGCTGTGGAAACCGGGAAAATATTCCAAAAAGAACACAGGACAATCCTAAGCATCTTGGGTAGGAAAGGAATTCTTTTTTTGCTTTTTATTTGTATCAGTATGTGTTTGCAGTGTGTGATGATTGCATTCATTGTGGGGTGATGGGGGATGGCACATGGAAATTACACAGCGTTATGGCTTGTGTCTACTGTCCCCCCAGAGCCTCAGGTGGTCATAGGTGGGGCTTTTTTAGAGGCACCTGGATCTAGAGTGTGCGACACTGCGAATGATCCACAGCACAATGCTAGGATGAGGGACGCTAGAATTAAGGGTGTGGGTGCTGCCCATCCTGAGCAGCCTAGATGAGATAAAAAGCATACAAAGAGCTGTGGTTGTCCCTTGTTGCGATGTCACATTTTGCCCACCACAAACTGTTTCCCCCGTGCTGTACATGTCTGTGGTGCCGCCCTGCCTTGCAACTAGCTGGTTACGAACTGAAACCTCTACAAACTTTGAGCTAGAGAAATCTTCGCCCTTTAATTTTGGGTATTTCATTTCAGCAATGAGAAAAGTAACTAAGACACGCATCGTGAATCTTCTTACATCCTCTTCCAGGAATTATCTTTTCTTTGCTTTGTTTTTTGAGACAGTTTTTGCTATGCAGTTTAGGCTTGCCTTGAACTCAATATTGTAGCCCAGGCTGGCCTCGTATTTATACTGATCCTCCTACCTCAGCCTCCCCAGTGCTAGGATGACACGTGACCAACACCACACCCAGCTTCTTCCAAAAATTCTTAAGACAAAAATGAGCAACCATAAGAGCAAAGCTCAATAGATACTATTGTATTCAAATGAAGAGCTTCTCTTCATCCAATTATACCAGGA